CCCTGACTAAGCTATTTCACCATAAATGCATCACGACTTTGCTGGTGGCCTTTTTATTTTTTGGCCCTTGTTCCTCAAGCAGCACTAAGTCAGAGTTTTAAAAAAAACGAGTCAACTCAGGAAAGGTAGTGGTAATAAGATATTGTCCCTTGTTTGTGGAGATAATTTTAAAGCATTTGGTGGCACTTTCCACCTTTATATACTCTCCCTGTCAACTCTTCTCATTCTCTCTTTCTCCTGTGCTGCTCAGCCACACACACTCTCCATACACTCTTAACTCTGTGCATGCAACCAGTTGTGTGTGATGACAGACCAAGATCAAACCATCAGGTTAAAAGCAGGCGGGGGGGCTTACGGTCTTAGCTGCCCTTCAATTGATTTCTCTTTAATTCACCCAATTAATTCAGCATGTTTAATACTCGCCTGTCACTCCAATTAGGCTCCTCCTCACCTGGTTGTGTGGAGGCCTCATAAGGGAGCAGTGCTCAGAAAGCAGCTCTGTCCGGCTCTGAAGAAGTTTGAAGTCTTCGTCGTTGGTGAGCCACTTCCTCGTCATCATTCTCCTCAGGTACACCTGGAGAGCAGCCGGGAGGAAGCAGTGAACAACCCCAAACGTATATATAAGACTTTTTATTCAATGCTTTTACAACATTTAAGGGAGGTCATCAGGGCTTTTGACTGCTCTGTTTTAACATCCTCCAAATTAAATGACAAAAGACGTGGTCTGTAACTAAAGGCAGCAATTTGAACATAAAATCATTAATCAATTAATCAGGGAAATAATCAGAAAATTAATTATTTGTTTTTCTCATCCGAGTCGATCACAAAGCAAGGTAGAGGAGGAGACGTAGAAACCTTTTTACACATCTATGTAAACAGGAGTTTAGACGACTTTACTGCATTAACTGTATTACTTCATACCTGTGACATAGAGTGTTATTTAGGCCTGCAGCAGGTCAATCTTGGTCACTTCATTTATTGCACCTTTACTTCTGATTTCTCAGAAGTACAGGTGGAAGTGCAATGTTGGTAAAAGCACCACAAAACCTCTCGGGCGGGCAGCCAGAGTGGATCGTTGGATTCAGAAACCGCTGTTTGTGTCCAGTTTCCTGCAAACTGCCAATGTTGGTTTAATTTAACCACAACCACAAGCTTTGTCTGACCTACCCAAGCATTGTTTGTGCCAAAAGGTAAGTAAATCTTAACCATAGCGGTGGCAAATCAGGAAACCGTCACATGAATCATTTTTGTAACTGTCATTTGTGACCGTTTCGGGAGGCAACGAGAAATGAATCTCCTGCTGATTGTTTTGCAAATAAGTCACAAATAACCTGTTTTGTCTTTTAGATTGGACCACTTACATCTTACATCCTGTTTTCACATCCCTGAACTCGCTTTTGTATGATATGGTAAGATTATGGTAAGTGCCTTGCTTGAAAACATATCTGGTGTTTGAGAATAGAGGTTCACGAGAGCAGGTTCACGAGAGCAGCTTCCCCTTTTTCTTTTTCCTCTTTTAAAAAAACCACAGCAAAAAAATGGCCACTCTCTGAGTGAGGAAATACATCGGCGAAAGCCGGAATTGAGCTTTCACCTATGAGACTACTTTTGTTCACTTTACTGTAATTGTACCTTGACATCCTCCTTGTACTGATCCTCCAGTTCCTCCATCAGCTTGACAATCAGCCATTTCACTTCTTTCCTGAACTCTTCCACCTCAGCCGGACAGGCATCCTGGTAATCCTCCATGTGCAGCCTACAGAAGGAAAAACAACAGGAAATGGAAAAACATCACAGACAGAAGCTATAAAGTGATATTTGAGTTTTTGTAGAGCATTTCAGAAAACACAAGAACTGAACTGGTGTCTAAACTTTGGGCATTGTACCAAAATTAGGTGCTTTAATTTTAAACCTGATGGTGGCGCTAGATAAAAGGTCAGGGAATCATCAGAGTCATTAGAAATCTCCCTCTGAGTGTCTGAATGTCAGTTCAGTAGCTGCTGAGGTATTTCAGTCAGGACAATGCCATCCCTAGAGACGCCAGTGAAATGCGTTTTTCCAGAGACAGTCTCCAAGTTTTTGAATAATCAGAGACCGCCTTGTGTGTCTTTGGCTTTATTGGCCAGTGATAGAAAAGAAGGCAGACAGGAAATGGGGGAGAAAAGGGGGGAGTACAAAGCAGAAGGCCAGCTGGAAGTGAACCAGTGGCGTTAAAGTTGTGTGTCCCGAAACCACTTGACTACCAGGGAAGTCTAAATTAGTCTAAAAGAATCAAAGCTGGAAGCCTGACAGGATCTCAGTCATTTTATCTCTTACTGTTTTTACACAGTTATAATCCAGACATATCTATATGATATCCTGACAATCACTGCAGGACTTTAGGTTCAAAAAAGAGAAAACAAAAAACAAACAAATTAAAAAAGGGGAAGTGAGTCAGACCCCCAAAAGGTCAAAGTCACCTCTGATAATAAATTAAAACCAGATAATAATAAAC